CACCCACACCCACACCCACACCCACACCTACACCCACACCCACACCCACACCCTTCTTGCTATTCTTGTAATCTAACGTGTTGTTCTTGTCTATTTGTCCTTATTTCGTGCGTCATATTGTACTTTGTTCCTATTTTAATGCTATTACTTTCCGTTCTTATTATTCGTTCTTTCTCTTCGATGGTGAAGTATATAAACAGATGCTTTGTCCGAAAACGAGGCAATTCTTGATAAGAAGAAACACAAGAAAGCGAAATGCAATCAATGCTACTGATATAAACAAACTGAATCTGTGAGTTTCAACTCTTGGCTTTTCAGCAACGGATACAGTTTGGGATAGCTAAATATTATGTAAAAAAGGGTGTGGGTGTGGATGCGTGTCTCAATTTTAACGACACCTACAACAACAACTAGACCTACCCATCGACATCCTGTTTTACATCAAACACATTGTGTGAGAAAAAAATGAGTATATATGTTCATGTATTTTTACTTTGGAAGTAATCATACTTTTTTTGTCGTCTTTCTTGACTAGAGAAAACCTAATCCGAGTTGCTAATCATTAATAAAACATAAAGTAATGACAACATGGAAAGAGAATATCGATAAATATTGACTTACACAATAATCTCCTTTCATTTTCTAATGTGAATATGTCTAACTCCCTCTTTTTTTCTCGTTCTTTGTAAAAGGTGAAATGAAGATATCCAATAAAAATATCTGATTTTATACCTTTGGATATAAAAGTGAAACATACACAAGGACAATTGACGTTTGTAGTCTATGTTATCGTTTTTGTTTTTCTAAACGATGTATCCTCGCCTTTTAAATCGTTTATTAGTAAGTACTATTCATCGGTCGTTTACAAATCAATTACATAGTAATGGTCGACAACAGTATCAATGGTCACGAGCACGATGGAATTATAATATTGCAACCTGTACTGGTATTGCTGCTGTAGCTCTATCAGGTGGTATTGTATTTGTATTACATGCTGCAACTGCATCATCTGATAAAAAATTAACAAAATCACCCAAAATTGATTATAATGATGTAAGTAGATAAATAGTTGCGGCTGCACGACGTAAAACAAACGTGCTAGTGGAAGAAATGCGATTTTTCATTTTGCTGTGATTATCCAGAATTTGCTAGGACTACTTGACTATTTTATCTGCAATTTTCTAAGCTGATCCAAACATAATAGTTTCATTTTCTTAATTATATTTTCATTATTAATTGATATTGTCCAATAGATGTTTTGGTAGACTTTTAATTTCCTTTTTCAACAGTTTTGTACTTCGATCTATAATTAATATTTGTATCCAAGAAGTTTTGGATTCATTTGACAAGTTCTCTTGCATACTTTAACAGAATAAAAAGTATTTAGAAGTTTCATTTCTATCGTCCTGAAGAAGTAGAAAGGATGAGTTTTTGATGCATAAAAGTAAAATAGCCATACCTGCCATGATCAGCTACCGTCGTTTGTTCTGTAATCTTCAATGCATATTTTAGATTTTCCATAAAAGAAATTTAAATAAGTCAGTAAAACGTAACAAAACTCTTGAAGGTGTATGTGTAGGTCGGAGTGTTGAGTCTAAACGGCATCTGGTTACATCTTACTTGCAGAAAGTCTTCTAAGGTCGCCCATACTTTCGACTTCATTATCCTAGAGCAAAAATACGCTACCACAATTAGCGAAACAACAACATGAAATATTTAAAACTTTAATGACAAATCTATATGATACATCATTGGCTGGTCTAAATGAAACACGTTGGGAGGTTAACAGCCTACAAAGAAAACATGCATGGTATCATGTGAATACTTTTCAAATACAAGATTTAAAAGAAGAAATAAATAGAATTCAAACACGATATGATTCAAAAATTCAACATATCTTGGATCGAATTACAGAACAAAAGAAACATGCAAAAGAAATCCTTGTCAATGCACTAAAACAGCTTGAATCTGTCGTAGATACTGAAGACATCAGAAGAAATCTCCGTGAATTAATCGATGTCCTTGACACTCTAGTTGAAACTCGACCCCAGGATGTTTTATTGATATCGATTTTTTCTGCCTTTGGCTTGGCCGGTCTTATCGCAGCCATTTTGGCTCTTTTTGTTGGTGCATCTGCATTCGGTATTATTACGTTAGGGCTGGGTTCTCTTGTTAGTGGCACAGCAAGTGAAGTTATGTTTCGAAATAAATTAAGCAACTTAGATGAAAAATTGGCAAGTTGTATAGCAGATGTTGAAGACCAGAAATATTTACGAATACAAAAGCTTAACGAATATTTTGTCAATTTAGAACATAAGTTAAGTAATAATACTTATGATCAAAACTCAAAGATTAATATTGTATGGTACGATAAAAACATTCTAAGTGACGTCAATCAAGACCGTATTGAAATATTAAAGAAGAATTTTCCAGCAGAACAATACCAAATTCAGCAATTCAATGATAAGAATCAATGTATCAGTTCAGTTCGGTCCGGTATTAGGAACAATATTATCTTAATCACATCTGGATCAGATGGCGAAGAAGTTATATCTGAAATTGGACATTATTTTCATATCAAAGGTATAATCCTCTTTTGTATGGCAGCTGAATATCATCGAACCTGGGCGAAGGAGAAAAAAAAAGTATTGCGTGTGACAAATTCGTTTCAGCAAGTTATTGAGAAAATTCAAGATATCGAAAATGGAGAAATTTATTTCGTCAATTATGGTTTTTCATTTGAAGATATACGAATCAAATTAAAACAGCAAACAGTCGAGTATTATCTATCAACAAAACAAAATGGTTTTATTATTTCGGACTTTTCAGCTATAAATTTAAATGTCGATTATCATAAGGAGGTCATGATGAAATTGCATAATACATTGAAAACAAAACACATTTATCCAAAGGGCATTCCTAGTCATTTTCAATATGATAATTTATTAAAATTTGCTCAACATTTTGTTGAAGCATTGGAAAAACCTAATCCAGAAAAACACATTATCCGACTTTATACAGCTGAAAAACCTGGCTATTATACAATAATCAATGATATTCTTAATTTATTAGATGAAGAATTAATTTTAATCATTCAAGATTATATCAAAGCATTAAGATATTCTCTGATGATCTATTCAGATACATCAAACAAGGTACCTAACAAAAAGAATATCAAATTATATAGAGGCATATCTTTGACACAAGACAATAAGTTTCAAGAATTTTCGAGAAAATTTAAGATCAATGATCATATTATTTTTCCAGCTTTTACATCGACCAGTATGAATAAAAAACAAACAATGTATTTTATTAAAGAAAAAGGTGTACTATTGGAGATTTCTGCAGATTGCACACAACTGAATAAACCAAAAAGTATTTCCGCAGTTTCACAATTTTCTAGTGAAGATGAAGTATTATTGAACTGTTTCAGTATATTAACAGTTAACAAAATTACACAAATCAACGATGATTTATTATGCTATGAGTGCACTTTGGAACTACATTAATATATATGAGTAGCATATCTGTCATTCTGATATTTTAAATCAGATAAAAGTTAATTAAGTTTTTCTTTTGACTTTGATTTCTCATATATAATAAATTTGAAAGA